TGGCGACCAATTCGGTTCGCGACCATGTTCGTAGGGGTCAGAACGGATTAGCCTTATTTACACTGAACCTTATGGGGAAATTTGTTTTTATCCTGGATGCATAATGCAAAGGCAAGAATCCACAGGGAAGACCCTGTGCTTGGAAAAATCAAGGTAATTGAAAAAGAAACCAACAGGGAAGAAGGTGGCTGGTTTCTTTCGCCGAATGATGTCAGCAAGAGCTCCCAAGAACTCGGAGCAGCAGTTGACCGACAGTCTTGATGAAACAATATCCACAGCTCGCAAGAGTTGGAAGTGACAACTGAGCAGCTCAGGTTGACCGACATACACAAATATAATTTTTATATCGGGGTGACTCCAGATCAGAAGACAGAAGAGACTGATTTCAAGGGGTGTGTGTGTGCTTTTGCTGTCATTGTAGCTATTCTTAAGCCAGGGTGAGTCAGAAACCTTGGCTGATGAACCGAAAAACATCTTCAGACACTTTGCATTTAGCTCCAACCGACCGGATGGAAGACCCTGGCTATTCTTAGTGTCCAGACAGCTCGCCAAAGCTCATATGATCACAATTTGCCCATCTTTAAGATACCTTGTGACTCTTACTTTTACAGCAACAGGCTGACATCGTAGCTGATGCTCTGGATGCTAGGGGAGTTTGTCTTAGCACAATGTTTGCATTAGCAGATGTTTGTGTTAGCACATTTGCATAACCACATTTGGCCCTGTGTTCTGGGGCATATAAACCTACTTTCTAAATGCATCGTTACAGCTGCTAACAATGGATATGGGGAAGTGGGCAAGCCAAGCCATTTAAAGTGACTGGTTGTATGACAATTGCAAGGCTAGGTCTGGCCGTGAACCGTAACCACATCAATGCAGCATTATAACAATACACCTGAATCAGAACATGGTCTTAGCATCACCTGCTCTATGCCATGACCCAAGTGAGGTCTTTGTTTGATTTTTAAAGAAAGCCTTTGAGATTTGCAAAGGGCCTCTAGACAAGCTTGGGAAATAAAGCTGTGGAGCACGTTCTGGTGCTTTGCTGAGAAGATGCTGCTACTTGGGGACGGGAGGCAAAAGGAATGATGCGTGACCCAACTAGTGGTGTCTTCTGTTATGGAGGTGTTGCAACTGGCTGCAACGGCCCCAACCCACAATAGATTCTGCAAAGCTGCATGTTTGTCCAGTGGTGAACTGAGTGCATTGAACAGTCAGCTTCACCGTGCATGAATGCAGCTGATAACCAGGTTGCACCTTTGCCCAGTCCTTAAGAGAAAGAGGCCAGGAACCCAAGGGTGACATTAGGACCTTACGTGGTCCTCTCCAGTGGGCGAAGCCCCACTCCCTGCACGTTTACACAGAAGAAAACCTCACTTTGGTCAGGGAGGTTTCCTACCTGTAAACACACATAGGTTTGCCCCGTCTTGTTTGCGATCCTTTGCAAGCCGGCTCAGGAGAAAGAAGGAGAAGCCAGGATGGAGCCCTAGATCTTCTGAAGGTGGAAGATACGGCTAAGCTACAGCTCTTTTCAAAAGGTTGGACACTGTTTCTATGGACAATGGTGTTGATGGTATGTATATTCCACCTTTATTTTGTACGGCTCAGAGCAGTGCATATAATGCTCCTGCCTCCTGTTTTCTCCATAACAACAATCTTGTGAGGTGGGTTGGGCTGAGAGAGACAGCTGGCCCAAAGTCACCCAACCAGCTTTGATGCCAAAGGCGGCATGAGGACTCGCAATCTCCTGGTTTCTAGTCCTGCACCTTAACCACTATCCCAAACTGGCTCATTCTATCTACATAGATCTATGCTATGTGCTTAACTAAGTTCCATACTGGTTTAATCGTATTTCCTTTCCTAAAGCATCTTGAAAACCTATAATTTGGCAAACACAGAGCTCCTTTACAGAAGCGCAAGGAGAAAGGAGAAAGGAATACTTTCTTGTTTCATGTGATTTCGCTTTTGTGTCCAGTGGCTAAAAGAACAGTTCCCCAAGCTGATTAAAACCGTCTTGAGCAGGTGACCGCATCTGCTTTTGGATACGTTCATTTTGATTCATATTTTATGTTCGGTACAAATCTCCAGGAGTCTGTTTTGAACTGGGCAGTACAGAAATACAGAAATAAATCCATATATACAATCTCATGAAAACAAATCATTCCTACGCATTAGTTTAAGCTTGCAGAGCTAACATGGAAACCTACAGTGCTCACAGACCAAATCACGGAGCCCCATAAATTGGCGTTACTCTCCACACCGGAGCTCAGAGAGAAGCACAAATCCTTATTTTGCTTTCTCTCTCGGTGGAAAGATCTGCTTCCATATTTAGTAGAGCGGTTGTGGGAGGGGGGGAAAACCCAAAAAGCATTAAACACAGAAGGTTCGTCGATGAGTCAATCCGCCTGGGGTGCACGCGGGGGAAAGCCATCATTCTGAAAGAATAAACGCCACTTCCTTTATTTTTAAGGTGACGCCAGTGTTGTTGCAGGTTTGCCTTTCTCCAAGGAGGTCTGAGCTGTGTGTCTCTCTCTTCACAACACCCCTTCAAAATGCATTAAATTGAGAGACAGAGCCATTCAAGCTTAAGTAAACCTCCGTTCCACGTGTTTTAGAAGCCATTCAAGCTTAACTAAACCTCCATTTCAAGGTCAGGTTAGACATGCACAGCAAATGACCCCACAGCTGACAGACCAGTTAGGACTTATGGTTCAGGAGCTCGTGTGAAGCCACCCCATGGTGGCTTGTTGCTTAAAATGATGCAGAACCGAGGACACGCAAACCCACCTTGGAATTGCCTTGCGGGGTGGCCAGCCAAGAACCGAGTCGGACTAAGGCAATAGAACTCACAATGGTCCCAGCTTTGGAGCTCAGGTCCGTCCGCAGGATTTGGGCAGGAAAACCCCAAACCAGAAGCCAAAGTAGAAATGGGATTGCCACAAATGCAGGGAGGGGGGGCTTTCCTTTCCAGAAATGGCTGCTAAGAACTGAGGGTGTCATTGATGTCACAGTCTGGAAGCCACAGCTGGTGCTCATCCCCTCATCAAAGCACCCCTCCTCAGGAGTAGGGCCTTACTCCTAAGTTTCTTCTCAAACCTGTTTCTCAGCTTCAAATGTGGGGTAGGGCTTTCAGATGTTTGCTCTCTCCAAGGCTGGGGAGAGTTTCAACTCATTTTCTGGTGGTCCCAGACCATCTAGTTCAGTGTTTCTCAACCTTGGCAACTTGAAGATGTGTGGACTTCAACTCCCAGA